TGTGGGTGGCTGTATCAGTCCAGATATGAGGGGCAATGATGGAGTGAACATGGCTTCCCTGTTTTGGTGTGATAGAAAATTTAGCAACATGAACAGGAATGTAACAGCGCTGAGTGGATGGGAAATTAATTCGCTCCCTCGTGTAAGGTGCATGGTAAAGTTCAACGGACCAAGGAGAGACTGGAGATCCCTATGGGGAACAAGCATCATTGCACAGAAGGTATTTTCCCTTTCCCTGATATGCTGGACTGATACACAGGGAGGCTTAACTGCAATGATACCAAGTTTAATGTATTTTCAGGAATTTAAATTGGTGTAGGGGCCAAGGGATGATCGAGACAGTGGAGTGACAAAGGATGTTCTAGATACAAATGACACATCTGCTTTGTGGTATGGCATTCGGTTCATTTATCATTAGAATCATATAGATCATGTACTTCTGAGGGACAGAGATATTGTGCAACTATATTGAACACTGGGCGTCTCTCTGCTCCAAACATAAGACAGGTGGTAATGTACAATGCTCCATTTACTAAATATCACTGGGACCGATGCACTGGGAGCACAACTAAGACAAGGGATATGGCATTTTCCTAGTCAGGTTTCTTTTGTGGTCCTTAAGATAGGCCAAATATCATTGCCTACAATGGCCTAATTTCACGGCTGCTAGTGTGGTCCAACACGCAGAAACTATGTAAACATACACATAAAAAAAGGAAAGGAATAAAAGGACAGAACCGGACCTTAGAATGGCCGGACTAATATGCTAGAGATAGAGAATGGTCAAAGGGAAAGCCGAAGTCAAGGAAGCCAGAAATACTCAGATACCTTTTAAACAAGCCAAGTCAGGGGAACCAGAATTCGGAATAACCAGGGAAAAGCCAAGATCAGGATACCAGGAAGTAATATTCACAAAGATAAAGGCACTCTAGGGAACCAGGAACAGGAAACCACAACAGGGCAAGGAACTGGAGTGAATTAGGGATTTAAATATCCCTCTCTATGCTCTGATTGGTCAGAGGGTAACCTCTGACCCCAGAACGAGCGTGTGCATTGACGTCGTGACGTCACGCGCACATTCATATAATTTTGGGGGGTGGAGTCATGGATGAGGTTTATACGACGGAGGACATGAAAGGGACCTATAAATCAAGGAGCTAGTTTCATGGAAGGAACCTTGAGTTTGATATGACGTGTGAACAACCAAACCCTGTCCCCCACTTGATAAAGAGGATTGGCACCACGTTTCTTATCAGCTTGAACTTTAGTACGTTTAGAGGCATTCTGTATTGCTGAATGAACAGAATCCCAAGTGTCTTGGATAGAAGTCAAACGGGTGTTTAATGCAGGAATATCAGTCCCCAAAAATGCAGAAGGTGGGGTGATAACCTTGATTTACAAAAAATGGACTCTGACTCAAGGATTCGTGAGTCGCATTATTTCTGGCAAATTCAGCCATGGGTAAGAGTTCGAACCAATTGGACTGATTGGCATCAATAAAGCAATGCAAATAGGATTCTTAAGATTGGCTCTTTCTGCGGCGCCATTAGTCTGAGGGTGGTACGAAGAGGAAAATGAAAGTTCTATGCCCAACTGTTTACAGAAGACACACCAGAACCTAGAGATAAATTGGGTTCCTCTGTCAGAAACAATGTTTTTTGGTACTCCATGTAAGCGAAAGATTTGGACTAGATCTTGAGCAGATGGCAATTTTTTTAATTAGTGGGTGTATGAAATGATAGGACGTAGGTTGATGTTTGTTGGGTTGTGGAGCAGTTGCAATTTACACACATGGATGCAAAATGGCAGACCTGTTCCATATCATAACGTGTATATAACTTGACCTTTGAGAGGCCCGAATGGTGGGACTGTTAATTAGAGATAAGACATTTGAACAACATGGTATTACTGATCACATTACACATATATGTCCTAAAAAAGGTTGCCCAATGAGGTCCATATGAAGCATATGTTGTGGAAGGCCAAGTGAGGGCCTAATATAAACATTTATGTGTAATGTCCTGTATCTCTCGTAGGGAGTTAATAACTTCACATTACATGAAGACTGACCACCATATCCATTACTGAGCATTATACATAGAGCCGAGGGGGGCTCTAAAGTCTGTAAGTTACTTCATTGGAGCCATTGTCTACAAACTGTATTTAGATTGTGCATATATGCATGTTTTCGAATGAAAGGTAGTTCCTTTTTTTTCTTTACACAACTTTTTTTTGCATGAAAGGTTGTTCCCTTTTTCTTTTTTTACATGTATATTTGTTATATACATTTGTTTGTTTGACGTGGAGATATTAGTTACCACTAGAGATGAGCGAACCCGAACTGGAAAGTTCAGGTTCGTACCGAACATTACGGTTTTTGGGCCCCGGACCCAAACACTGACATTTCAGTGTATGTTCGGGTTGGAGTTCGGTGTTCGGCAATTTAATGGCACGTTTTGAAAGGCTGCAGGGCAGCCAATCAACAAGCGTTTGACTTGTGTGCCCTTAGAAGCCATCACAGCCATGCCTACTAATGGCATGGCTGTGATTGGCCCGTGCAGCATGTGACCCAGCCTCTATATATAAGCTGGAGTCACGTAGCGCCGCACGTCACATGAGCTGTTATTAGTGTAGGGAGACTGCAGCTGTGAGGGACAGATTAGGAAAATATTCTGGTGTTGAATCTGCAAACTACAGCGATTATTTTTGTGGGTGCTATGCTACATTTTTGTACCCTGCCTGAAGCCCAGTGCCACAGAGAGTGCCAGGCATATTACTTTAATCCTGTTCTGGTAGCTCAGTGGGCAACATCTAGGCATTTTTAAATACTGCAATTCTTTTGGTGCTAATGTGACAGATCCATCTGTATAGACTAAGATTGCTGGTTCGTCTGTTTTACCTTGTTCGTGGAATTGCCCGTTCGTATGCCCCTGTTCAGTGAATTGACTTTTCCGCCGAACAAAACTACCGAACGGATGGCCACCCAGAAGAGAAGTGTGCTGCTGGTTAACCTCTTGATCCCAATTAGAACATTGTGGTTAAAACCGAATACAGGGTGGTCGTCATTCGTATGTCGACCACTAGGCGGCGGCCATTTTAAACCATGCGAAAGACCAGCGGTGCTTGACATTGATTTCATGGAACTGAAAACGGACACTTTTTCTGCCGAACACCGCTGAAGCCGCCGACCTCCCTTCTCAATCGACAGAAGGATGCGAACACCGGCCGTTCGGGAGGTTTGAACACACGAATGGACTTAACCCAGATAGCCGTCCCATGGAGTCAACCGCATACCGAAAGACTGTAATAGACTTTGACTCCATGGCGATTGAACTATGCGTATGGGATCTAAGCGCTATTCGCCAATAATATGCACTCAGATCCAGGCTATCTGGGGATACGTGATACGAATGGGTAGCATTCGACAAATGTAAAGTTATAGATTTTTATATGTTTTGCTGTGTTGAATTTAAAATGGCGATTTGCCTCTGTCCTGGAGATAATTGAATTTCTTCTCAATTATCTCCAGGGCAGAGGGGAGGGAATACTAATGCATTGTGGGAATGTTCTGTGTCTGTGGGTCCTGACTTGCCATATGTCTGTCTATTGCCACAATCTCCCATTTGGTCCCCTAGGGGAGTGTCCACCAAGTGGGAGACCTGCATAAATACGGGCAGGTAGCCCACAGTAAAGCCAGTTCTTGTTTTACCCTCAATGTGGAGCTTGGTCTCGTTATTGGGGGGATTTATTACCAATGACTAGAGACTGCTGGATGGAATTATTAGCCGCTTGGGAGATATATGCGTTCGGCTAATATTGGCGATTGGTGAGTTTGGAGCTCGTGGAGTGAAGTGCCCATACAGATCCCGTTCGTGAGTTTACAGTGTTCCCCGGCTTGCGGTTCGCATGATTGTACTGGATACGCATGCAGCCTATGCTATTGCGAGAGGGGAGCATTCACTAAACGGTGGTTTGTACATTTAATGCTGAGGGTACCATAACAGCTAAATAGTACATTTGTGTACTGCATTTCTTTCAGTCTAATAAAACCCTTAAACACTAGTGATGTCCCTAACGGTTCGCCGAACGGTTCGCGCGGATTGCGAACATATGACCCTGTACCTCACAGTCAGCAGACACATTCCAGCCAATCAGCAGCAGACCCTCCCTCACAGACCCTCCCACCTCCTGGACAGCATCCATTTTGAAGCTGCATTCTTGTGCAACACTGGCTAGTTACCACTTCTCAAGAAAGTCTAAAGACAAATGAATGTTGCCTATGGTGCAGGTAGTATATAAGGCAAGACTGAGACAAATCATTCGGGTTATGTTTGCCTGTTGACATGTTAATTATCTTAGACCATTAAAATTCAATAATCAATGAAAAAACACAGTAAGTGTCATAAAAAAATATGTATTATAGACAAGTTAAAAACAAGACTACAAGTCATGCTATAACAAAATTAAACAAGTTTTAAAATATGTATGGGCCAACCAGTGGCTGTAAAAACAAAGTTTTACTGGTTACATTCATGACTACACACTCTAGTGAACAGGACCTTCATGTAGTGTGTAAACATTTCTATATTGTGTAAAGACACAACTACAAAGTTAAAAACCAAACACCAAAACAACGTGCCAGACAATCTACCTGTGCATGGCTAGTGTAATACAATAAGTCTACATCTTAAAAATGCAATAACCCACAGAAGATGGGCAAATGGGTGCAAAAGCGGAGCGGCCGTCCCCTAGCGCTCGTCGGCACGTATTAGCTCTAGAATTACCACATTTATCCAAGTAACAGCGATCAAAGGAACCATAACTGATTTACAGTTTCACTGTAGCGGCTGTGCACGCTTTCGGCGTTCTCACCCTGCTGCTGCTCGCCTGTCTGCCCTGCAGCGTAACTTCGGCCTTCCCGCTCATCGCCTCATATGCGACATGCCCACAAGGTGGAACTCCACCTTGCACATGCTGGAGAGACTGTGCGAGCAGCAGCAGGCAATAGTGGAGTTTCAGCTGCAGCACGCACGGGTCAGTCACTCTGCACCAGACTTGCCCTCCAATAGATCCTCGTTAAAGGATTTAAAGTGTACTCATTCCAATTAAAGGGCCTCGAAAGAGTCCTGTATTGTTATTTTTTGTCACTACCTCCCCGCGTTGGGAGTGGGTAATTTGCGCGCCTTTTGCTTTCCTTGGATATGGTAGCCGTTTCTCAGGCTCCCTCTCCGAAATCGAACCCTGATTCCCCGTTACCCGTGGTCACCATGGTAGGTGCAGAAAGTAACATCGAAAGTTGATAGGGCAGACATCCGAATGCATCGTCGCCATCACAGGGACGTGCGATCGGCCCAAGGTTATCTAGAGTCACCAAAGTGCCTGCACAACGACTGCCGAATTGCCCACATTCTAACTTGTGCTGATTACTGGGTGGCCACCCTGCTGGATCCCTGTTACAAGGACAACGTGCCGTCCTTAATTCTCTCACTGGAGCGTGATCTGAAGAAGCGCGACTACAAGCGCACGCTGGTAGAAGCGCTGCTGAGGGCATTTCCAACTGACACTGGGGGCTCAGTGGAAGCACAAGGCGAAGGCAGAGGAGGAGGAAGAGGTCGCCAACGCAGCTGGGGCACCGCCAGCACCTCACAAGGCAGGGTTAGCATGGCCGAAATGTGGAAAAGCTTTGTCAGCACGCCACAACAACCAGCACCACCAGCTGATATGGAACGTCTTAGCAGAAGGCAGCATTTCAGCAACATGGTGGAACAGTACGTGTGCACACGCCTCCATGTACTGACTGGTGGGTCTGCCCCATTCAACTTCTGGGTCTCCAAACTGGGCACATGGCCTGAGCTTGTCTTTTATGCCTTGGAGATGCTGGCCTGCTCTGCAGCCAGTGTATTGTCTGAACGTGTATTTAGCACAGAGGGGGGCGTTATCACAGACAATCACAGCCGTCTGTCTACAGCCAACGTGGACAAGCTCACGTTTATTAAAATGAACCAGGCATGGATCCCACCAGACTTGTCTGTACCTTGTGCAGAATAGACATTTATAACGGCCTCACCCAGCCATTGTTATACTCAAGTGCACTTATTCTTTGTTTTCTTTTTTTATAGGTCCCAATGTTTTGGGGGCTACCCCAATTATTAAAAAATAAATAAATGGGGGGGCGTGGCTAACCGCCGAGAGGAATGGACGTGTGATCCTCTCGCTCCGGCACCACGGGTCGCAATCTGACTCCATCTAGCGCAACACGGCGGTACAACTGCTAAAAAACAAGAGATGGCACAGCAGAGGGGCAAGAAGGCTGCACCAAAAGCAGAAAAAAATAATTTCTTTGGAAACAAGCCGCACCAGGAGCCGGAGGAGGCTCGGACCTGGTCGCAAGATGGCAGCTCCGCTACTGACAGCCTAGAGAACACAGCGGTACTGCAGGAAGGGGATTCTGATAAACTCACCAAGAGCTACTTGCAACAAGCTCTGGACACCCTGTCAAACAAGCTAATTACATCGTGGCAACACACGGCGGATTCGCTGAGGAAGGACATGCAAGAATTAGGTAAGCGCACCTCCCACATGGAGAACAAGATGGCAGAATTTGCTACAGCACACAATGACATAGCTTCTCATGTGGAACAACTGGAACAAAAATTACTGGCGCAGAAAATAAAATAACTGACCTAGAGGATCGCGCACGCAGGAATAACCTGCGCATCAGAGGGATTCCGGAAGATGTTGTGCCGGAGAACCTGCAGGCATATGTCAGAGGCGTGTTTAACGCATATGCCCCAGACATACCTACCGACATGTTACTCGCGGACCGAGTACACCGCCTGCCTAGACCAAGGTTCCTACCAGAAACTGCACCGCGGGATGTGCCACTGCAAATGCATTATTATCATATTAAAGAGCTTATACTCAAGTCAAGCAGGAATAAAGCGACACCACTGGAAGGATATCCAAACCTGCTGATTTTTGCCGATCTTTCTGTATCCACTCTTCGTAGAAGGAAAGAGTTCGCTCAAGTTGCCAACTCCGTGAGAGCTCATGGCCTCAGATTTTGATGGGGCTTCCCTACCAAAATGCTGGTGACGAAAGACAACGCTACCCAAGTCATCACATCACCTGAAGATGGACTTCGCAAACTACAATCCTGGGGATTCATGGACCAAAGACCGGATCACAACACCCCACCTGCCAGGCGCATCCCACTGGACTGGCACAAAGCATGAACTGCTGGACATCCGCAAGTATAAATCTGTTTATACATGTGTGCTTGCAATAAGGCCAAGGACTGAGAAAAAGATATAGCAATGTTCTATGGAAAAAAAAATAATAATAATTTTTTCAGGTTAACACGGGACTGGTTATATCACGTTAGACTACATAGTTCACTAAGGCTACTTAAGCTGGCGAGCAATAACTCCCCAAACATTTAATGGAGGTCTGGAGCTGAACTAGTCTCCCCTAGCAGCCTGTAGCTCATGGGAAAGGCCATGTCTTGCAGAGGACACACCTATTTTTTCCGTGTGCCTCATTAAGGGCATATTGTGAGGGCAACACTGATAAACTACTTAGAGATCAATCAGTTAGCAGACCCCCGACCCTTCTAGGAACCAGACAAAACGAGGCTACAAAAAATAAAAAATAAATAAATAATAATAATAATAATAGTATAACACATGTTCAGTACGTAATCAATAGATACCTGCTACTTTAACGAGCCTTCCCAGCACCCTACTGGATGCGCTCACCAGCTGCAAATTAAGGTGAATTTATGTTGTACATATATATGTACCTACGAATGTGCCTAACAACATTTTTCTCAGTCCTACTACCACTTATCTTTCTTCTTAAGTACAGCCGTACACATACCAAAGAGCCTATAAGACTCTTATTACTTGATGCATAGGTGACCTAGTGTGACCGACCGTCCCTAAAGGTTAGGAGACAGCGGAAGACCCATAGCCACGACACGGAAACATGCAAGTTTCCACCCCCACGGTACTCACCACCAGTACCAAGACCCATACATGTATATACTTTGTTTTTGTTATCACCCGGTTTATACCTCCCCATGTTCTTGACCCTAGTCCCGCATGGATAAGAAAGTCCAAGCTACTGCCCACACCAGCTATGATCACTATCACCCTCACAGAGGCACTCTTGCCTGATATGAGCACTACTGACATACACATACGAACGGAAGATAAAATAAGGAGTAAACTGCAAATTCAGTGACGAACCCACATAACATCATATTATGAAGATATACTCACATAACATACGGGGGCTGAATACCCCTCATAAACGTAGAGTTTTGTTAGAGGAAACTAAGATAGCTAAAGTAGACATTATGTGCCTTCAGGAAACGCACTTCGTGCGTGGGAGAATACCAGAATTTGGGAAACAAGACTATCCGACGCAGTATCATACGACTTATTCCTCCAAAACTAGAGGAGTGTCCTTCATGTTTCACAAATCGCTCACTTTTGAACTGCTAAACGTCAAAACAGACGCACAAGGCCGATATTTAATAATCCACTGTCAAATTAACAGAGGTAGGCATATACAGCCCCAATTCCAACCAGCGCAATTTTTTGCATAGAGTCCTGAGCAAATTACCCCAAGAGCACAGGGCTGGCATCATAATATGTGGTGACATGAACCACATTCTCCAGCCGACTATGGACACGACAGTGTCTCCTTCTACTCCTAGACATAGATCCTTAATACCACAATGCAAAGCTATCACTAAGCTATTACTTGACCATAACTTATATGACATATGGCGAACGAAACACCCGAATGACAAAAATTACACTTTCCATTCCAAGGTGCATGGAACCCACTCCAGAATAGACGTCATACTGGTGTCAAGAGATTTGTTACCTTCCACAGTACAGAGTTGCATAGGGGACATAGTGTGGTCAGACCACGCTCCAGTGACCCTCATAACCCAGGATACTTACAAACACAGAGGGAAAGCCCCGTGGCGCCTAAACGATACCCTCCTATACAACGACACTTTTAAAAAGGAATTGGAAACTGAGATAGACAAATATTTCCAACTTAACAATCAACCTGACATATCACCTACTACCTCTTGGCAGGCTCATAAGGCAGTTATTAGAGGTCAGCTCATTAGCAGAGCGTCCTTCCTCAATAGGACTTCTCAACAAGCGCGCCTTACACTATTGACCAAACTGCATGACCTAAACGCAGCCCAATTTCTACACCCCAATCCCGGCCTTAACATTGAAATAGAACAAATTACAAATCAATTAAATGATCTCCTACTTCAAAAAACAGCACGCACCCTACAAATACTCAAATTAAAGCATTACACCCACGGGAACAGAGCGGGGAAAAAATTAGCATCTTTACTGAGGCATCACCAAGCCCACTCCAAAATCCCATATTTACTCACCAGCACAGGAGGGAAGATATATAACCCCCTAGACATTAATGAAGAAACAGTAGCCTATTACCAAAACCTGTACAATTTAACAAAGGACCCCCAAACGCATCAGCCAACACAAGTTGAAATTGATAACTTCCTCTCACAGATAAAATTGAAATCACCCGGACCAGATGGCTTCACGAACACTTACTACAAAGTCTTTTCGAACATCCTGAGCCCCCATCTAGTACATACACTGAACCACATTGTACACACAGGGAAGATGCCATCAGAAATGCACACATAGCCACGCTACCAAAGCCAGGGAAACCACCTACGCAACCAAAAAATGTAAGACCTATCTCACTGTTAAACACAGATACGAAACTCCTAGCCAAAATATACGCCAACCGTGTAGCGGCCCTCGTCCCCTTTATTACACACCCGGATCAAGTGGGCTTTGTGAGGGGGCGACAGGGGACTGACGGCACTAGGAAACTCCACAGCCTTCTCTATAGTGGGACGCCTCCCGGAGAGTCCAGGGTCTTTATGTCCCTGGACGCCGAGAAGGCGTTCGACAGACTACACTGGAACTTCCTGAGAACTGTACTACAAAAATTTGCATTTCCACAACAATTCCTATCCCTACTCTCAGCACTGTACTCCAAACCATCAGCACAAGTTGCAAATGGCGGGTTTGTATCCAAGCCGTTCCTTATCACAAATGGAACGAGGCAAGGATGCCCGCTTTCCCCAGCCCTATACATTCTTGCGCTAGAGCCATTAGCCCAGGCGATACGGGATAACAGCCAAATCCGAGGTGTGAAAATTAAACACAGGACATACAAAATAACGATGTTTGCGGATGACGATATGCTCTCCTTGTCTGACCCACTCACCTCTATCTCAGAATTCCAGAATCTGTTACAACAGTATAGCAATTGCTCGTATTACAAATTGAATAGCTCTAAAACACAGGCAATGAGCCT